AGTAATGGAAGTGTTACTAAGTGTTGGCAGGAGCCTTAAAGGGAGGTAATCTATCTAATCTAATATCTAATAATATATAAAAGCAAAAGAAAACTTCCTAAGGAAGCTGGTGCCAAAACCTTTTCTAAGGAGAAGTTGCATGGAAATGTTCTAGAGAAAGTTGATTCTAAGGATTGCAGCGGACGCCTTTGTCCGAGAGAGCATGTGATGATGTGCCAAATACAATATTCTAGAATATTGCTCAGCGAAATATGAATCGAAAGAACATGTGAGAACACCAGTACATTGATGTATAGTAACTATTTCTGCCGCCCGCCCAGCCTCATTCTTATGGCCATGTGTAAGGTACATGTGTTTTAATTGAGTATATATAAGTCCCAATACAGGGATATATTTACTGCGCAGTAGTACAACATTTGATGAAGACAAACAGAAAACAATACCCTCTGCCGAGGTCCGTCATGATAGCCATACGAGCAAATACAATTTCCTGGTGGTGATAATTTTAGAGGGTTAGAGCTATCTGCATTAAGAGGTTTTTGATGGATTATGCATTCTATTTCATGATAAAAGAGGTCAGAAATCGATCATTGGAAGGCCAAGAGTTATACTGTATCACGTTGAATTGGTGGCCAAAATAAAAAAGGGAAGTTGAGGCATTGGGCGGCCAAGCACTAAAAGGATACCATACGGTTTAAAAAACAAAGTGATGTCGAGAAAGACATTGGGCAGCCAAGTATTTAGTGGTTCAATGCATTAAATATTCTCAATTTTAATTTTAACCAAGGAGGTCCCCTATAAAATGTTCATAGTGATATCCCTGCATACACTAAAAATTGGTCCAATTACGAATAAAAGCTAAGAAAAAAATTAACAATCGTGTTTTATTTTGCAGTTGAATTCCACGGAATATTTATAGGATCCTCCGATCCATTTCACTCTCGAAGAGGATTGACAACGAATGGTTAAAGGGACTGGATGGTGAATTTGGATCAATGTGATGATATTCTACGAATGGTCCAAAATATATTACCAGCTACTTTATATTCATAGCTTGGAGTCTGGACTTTAAATTTATTATATGTGCTCTATGATTTTTTTTTCTTCTCTTTGACTTTCTCTTATCTTAAATTCTAATTTAATGTATTTTTAGATGAAACTTTGAATAGTATGTTCGAAGAGTATAACGGTTCAAAGAGTATTTCTAGAATAGATAATGAGTTTTTTTTTGCTTTCAGAGTGAATCATCAATGGTGGTTATTGAAATTATCCACTAGATATCCGTGGCCTCCTTTGATTGAAAACTTTTTTATGCAGTATCTTTTACAAAAACAAAAACTTATCTGATTTGTACGGAGTATTCAAAAAACATATCAGGTTCTTTATTAAAGTTACTTAATTTTAAATAATTTGGGAATTATTTCGTTGATGAAAACAGGTTTCTCAAATATAACCCTTAAAAACCCTTGGCACATATACGTTAATATAATGGGTTGGGTTTGCTGATCAAACCGCATAAATGATTAGGTCGGTGTAGAGTATGAGGTTGGACTGAGCTCTTTATTTATAATACGAAGTAAAATATAACTAAATTTCACAAATACGACTACATTGCTTTAAATTCCTTAAGTACGACTAATTATGTGTGTTTGGATAAACATACCCCTGTAACTTTTTTGAGTAAAATAAATATTTAAAAAATTAATAAAAATAAAAAATTAAAAAAATAAAATTACAAATAAAAAAATAAAAAACTAGAAAAATATTATTAATTAAAAAAATGATTTAAAAAATGTAAAAAATAAAATAAATACATTGCCTCCTCTGCCAGCCCCAGCACCACCGACTCCGATCACCGGGAAAAAATGCTAACATTATTAATAATGTCATATTGATGGCAGTTTTAAAGAAAAGTTAAGCATTATCAAAGAGTAATAATGTTATTTTTGGCATTTTCAGGAAAAAGGTTATTATTTACACAATGACATTTCTTTTTCACTGATCGGAGGTGGTGGTGCTAGGAGATGGTGGGAAGGCATTCATCTTTTATTATTTTCTTATGTGTTTTTACTATTTTTTATTAATTTTAAATTTATTTTTTCAAATTTAATTTTAATTGTCATTTTACAAATATTTTACTATTTTTTTATTTCTTATGATTTTTTATGATTTTTTAATTTTTTACTATTTTATTATGAATTAAAACATTATGAATTAATATCCTTAGTAGTATTTAGGGTAGAAAATTAATGTTTGCAGGGTCTAATTTTTGGATGATTTAGACTTTAGTCCTTTTTTATATTGTCCTAAAAACTTTTTTACTTTCCACCTTGATTACCTAATTTTTTATTCTCTCTCTCTCCCCCCATATACAAACGTCTATCGCATTTTTTTTTCAAATCATTATACCATAAATTTCATCTTTCACAAAGATAATATTTTGCAAAGATAAGAAAATAGCTTGGAATAGCAGGTCATCAACCGATCAGGGACCAGTGAATGAAGATGAGGTGCAAAAGTTGGATTATTCATGAATAACCAAAATGTTGGATTATTGTAAGAAAACCGCTAAAAGGTTGGATTATTAGTTTCCATTTTCCCCATAAAAATTTGGTAATGACATATTATAGTGACATAAAAATTTGACAGTGACATCATGTTTTCCAAATATATGACCTTGTTAGTCACATTTTTATCCTTTTGGAAAATGGTCACATTTTTGGAAAATGACTTTAATTAGGTAATATTGAAGGAAAAGGCCTATAATTATTCATGCTCAAAATCCCTCCAATAACAAATTTTACAATTTTGATATTACTTTTCTCAATGACATGATTGAATATACATGTAACTTTGTCAACATTTCTAACCTTTTAAAAAAACTAATCATTTTTCATTTTTTTGGCAATTAAATATTTCTTCTAAGGTGTTTTGCGCATCAAAATCCAAGAACAAAAAGAAATAATTACATAAATATGACCAAAATAAAGATGGTTTACAAAAATATGACTAGTTACTAAAATAGTAATGAAATCATAGTAATTCATGTTCAAGTTTTGAAATTAAGTTACCACAACACTAATATGTAGTAATGAATAATCATATTTATATAAATAAGTTTTATTTTCTTGTAAAAAAACCGAACAAAAATACACTGCTGCCCTTTTTTCCCGGCTCCGCCGTTCTGTATTCTCGCATTATTATGACTTTCGGATTTACTATTCAACTAGTTTTCAAGCCCGTGCGATGCACGGGCAGTACATAATTTATTGTAAATTTAATATTTTTGGAATCATATATAATTTAATGTGATGCAAAAGCAAAATAAACTCAATCTAATATAAAGTCGTTTGATAATACTTAATTTGGTCGAATTGTCTGACTTTACTGTAAAGAATTAATTAACTAATTGGGCTAAATTGACGGAATCTCCCAAATTATGAAAAAGCAAAATACAATATACTATGTATTACACATATAATTAATAAAATAAAATAAAGTTTATATGAGAAATATTTAAAATGGACTTCTACATAAGCATCTCAACTAACATAATTGTTATGAACCTGATTTTAAAGAATTCACACAAAAGTTTCTTAACTAATTTCACATCCTTTATATTACTTCATTAAGAATCTCAAAACACTATTTTTTAAAATATTTATCATTCAACATGGTATGAAATAAGTTTTGGTGAATTTTATTGGTGAGATCTTACATTTCACTCATTATTTCGTCACATTGAGAATGTAAAAAAATGAATTGTTTCTATAATTTACTCATTTATTTGTCACATTGAAAACATCTTAATAAGGATACTTTTAATTAGATTGATATTTTCAGTATTAATTTAGTCTGAAGTAATATAGTGTCAAAGATGTCTATTTTATGTATGTATGTATGTATAATAATAATAATAATAATAATAATAATAATAATAATAATAATAATAATAATAATAATAATAATAATAATAATAATAATAATAATAATAATAATAATAATAATAATAGTTGTGATTATATTATTATTATTATTATTATTATTATTGATGTTTGATCCAATCTTGTCTAAGACTGAAATCGGTCCAATTAATAACATCCTAAATGTGTGAAGATTTGCTATTTTGGATTAGGAATCTATTTCAAAAGTGAAGGAATATTTAAATTGTAGTTGTAAAAATAAAGAAACAACTAAACATATATACTTTTTTGGCTGGGCTAAATGTATTTACTTGTGAAAATATATACATTTATATGTATGATATGAATTTTCATCCTAATAAAGGTAAGCTACTTGATCAGAAGTTTTAAATGTTTTCATATATAAATGTCTAATAGTATATCTATTTCATTTTTAAGTTAAAAAATCTTGTGGTTATAATTTTTATCTCTATCTCAACAACTAAGAAAGAATGGTATATATGAAGGTGCAACAAAATACAAAGTATTATCGCAATTGCAAATCTATGTCTTATAATTTAGTAATTATCGCATTGAGTTTAGAAAACATTCAAAAAAAATTGAGTTTAGAAAAATAAAATATTTTTATGAAATAATTTTGAAGAAAAAATTAATAGGAATTTGGATGATTTATCTGTTAGAATGTAATAAAAAGTATAAAAAAAATAATTAAATAATTGATATAAAACATAGTCTATGTGTACATATGATTGTTTATTGTTGTGATTCCAATTGCTTAATTTAATAGCTATCCAAATTAACATGGAGTAAGTAATAGGTTCTTAAAAAGTTACCAAATAAAGTGGATTCTATCATACAATCTTTTCTTTCCATATTAAAATACAATAGAAATAGAATTGCATAGGTTGGAGATGAGGGATCATATTTTTTGAATAGGTGAAACGTATTTCACATTTTAGTAAATACGTTGTGTGTCATATGTTTAATTACCTTCTTTCCATATCAATATACAATAAAAATAGAATGTAATGAAAAAAATAAAAGGTATAAAAATTAATTAAATAATTGTTATATATGATGATTTGGATTCGTTTCAAGACAACAATTGGGACCTCCGATCCCCGATTTCGGTTGCTTCGTCGACGACGTTTCTCCCAGCCCCGATCTTTTATGGGATCATCATTCCGTTTCCTTGAGGTAAATCGATTCCCCAAACAAAGATTTTACAAAATGGTCTCAGTAATTTGGAGCTAATTGTCTTCTTACTTTATATCTTTCATATTTTCTTGTGTGCTGATTGAGCTTGTTACGAAGGAAATCTGTTTGCTGGACAAGATAGTTCAGGGTCTTTCTTTGTTTCTGGAGATTTTATGTCGAAACTGGGAAAATGATCGTGTACTTGTTTCACTTTAGCTACTGATCTGAAACAAGAATAAGGATTAATAATCTATGTTTCTTTACTTTTTTAGTCACCAATTTCCTGCACGTAGTAGTTTTGACCATTTTTTAGCTCTTATAATGCCTTTACTCATAACATTTTTATAGAAAGGGTCTTTATGCATAACTGATTCTTGGTATAATGGTATGCTTAACTGGTCCTTGGCTGGCAGATCTTCAGCAGAAGTGGATACATCACATCATGGTGCTACATCTCAAGGAAATGAATATTTGCAATCAGAACACCAGAGAAAGAGGTATATTTCTAATGAGGAATGGATTTAGAGGTTGCAGAAGCAACCACCTCCTTGGAATTAAATTTATTTAAACTATATGCATCATATCTTTATGAATTTTCCACACTTTATTACATTTACATATTTCCCCCCTTAATTTTATGGAATAAAATTAGTTTATAACTTTATATCTCAAATACAAATGATATTAAATAGTAAATTTTTTAGGACAGAATGACCAACTCACTTTAGTTTAGTTTCATGTCATATTCATGAAAAAAGTGAACAAATTATTGATTTCAACGTAAAAGGATGCAAAAATATTTATTTAGGATTCAGGATTCATTAAGAATAAAATGATAATTTATACTACATATTTTGTAGAGCTTATGTGTAGTAGATAAAAAAGACCTGATTTCGTAAAAGATCAACCAATTTTCGAAATATTTTAGGACAAAAGTTAGGCAGCTCTCATATAGAGTTCATGTGGATCTGTATATAAAGCCTAGGTGACACGCACCAATCTAAAATTCCGAAACACGGTTCCTGGTTTACTAGCATTCAAGTTGAAGGAAAATAAATCTCTTGGCTCTTCATTCTATTCTAACAATATCCATATAGATAAACAAGTTTTTTTTTTATCAAGATAACAGTCTATGAGAATGTAAATGGCACTTTATTGCCAAAACACATTGGTATTTTCCAACCATTTTTATAATTAAACAATTTTTGCTTGATTTGGTGTCATCTAGGTGTCTACATATGCCGATTTTTAGGACACTTCTATAATGAATCAAAGTTACTCCTTTTTCCTTAAAATTGCACACATATAGTGTATAACGATAGGTTATGGAACTTTCAAGTATATTAGTATGTGCTGTAAAGTATAATCTTAAACCACTTTTTATATAATAAAATACATGGAGTAATGTCATAATGCATTTTTTTCGCACCCCTAAGCTAGTCATTCTAGAGCCATCACTGTCTCTAAATATACCTGTTTTACTTTCACATAATATTCTTAGTCTCTGTGGTAAACTTTGGATGCTAAAGTTGTTTGTGTATGCTTTGGACCCTGAGCTCAAGATTTTAAATTTAATATCAGCTTTTAGTTTTTTATTAGTCCAGAACACTTGTGTATTGATAAAGGATTCTGGGAATGTGGGGTAATACTTTTTATTGGTGATCACTTTCCATTAGCCCATTAGTTCCATCGTGTTAATGCTATGTTTGTAAGCTTCGATAATGTGGAGTTGGAATGCACATAACTGGAGTTGGAATGTAAGCTTCTACTTCTGAATTACCTGAGAGTGAAGACTAATAATTAAAGTTGACTCTAAGTTTAAAACTCCATATTAAAGTAGAACTAGCAATCAAAAGGTTAATTCATGAAGCTGGTTTATATCTGGGTTGAAATTTCTTTTCAATCTGATTTTTCATTTTTCGCTATTTTCATAGGGGACGCTTGGATTCATGCAGTAAATCGGGAAGCAAAGCTTGCCGTGAGAAAGTTAGAAGACAAAATTTGAATGATAGGTATCTTTGTAATAATATGAAATTACCCTAGAAGTAAATTTAACTTGAAGAATAGAATCATTCTTGTAAACTGTCGTAATGAATATATCCACTATGCAGATTTGCAGAGCTTTGCTCTGTTCTCGAACCAGAAAGACCTGTAAAAACAGACAAAGTGGCAATACTTGGGGATGCCGTTAAAGTTATAAGGCAGTTAAAGACTGATTCTCAAGAGTATTCAGAAGTGAACGAGAAGCTTTTGGAAGAGATTAAAACTTTAAAGGTTTGATTTGCTATTCAATGTGCAATTTGTTTTTGCTTAAATTTGAGTTCCTCTAAGAAAAGATTTTCTCTGAACAAAACCTACAAAACTGATTGAGGTGAATTTAAAGCCAAATAAAGAAACTTTCGTGCTCGAGGGATGAGCTGACTGTGTCACTATTGGGAGAGATTGGGTTTATATTCCGGTGGAGTCATTAATTTGTATGAGAGTTAGTAATACGTCCGTCCCAAAAAAGACTCATGTTTGAGCAAGATTTTTTAGTCATTCATGCTGTGAGCTTTATACAATACAAGATTTTTATATCCAACTTTTATCCAATTTGAGTTTCTTTTTGCAACTTCATAAATTTAATGTAGTTTTTAAACATGTAAATTTTATTTACTAAAAATAATCTTATTATTGACATGGGTCAGTTAACTTTATGTCTAGCAAACTTCATAAACCCAAGCAGACACCTTTACCCCGCAATCCGGGATGGAGGGATTACAAGTTATGAATGTGATAGGAACCGGCAGATTAGTATAATGATAATAGAATTATACGAGTATTAAATAATTGGTATAAAGTATGAGAAGGTACCGGGGTAGGTACTAGTTAGCTTTGGGCTGGCTCATAAGAGAAATATTATAAATAGTTGGGACTAGGACTTGGGAGTGCTGAGACTTCTCGAAGTTTCTCAATTGTATCTTTCTCTTTCGTCCTTATTGTGCTAATTCTTTCGTTGATTTGTAATCCCTTAAGCCCTTAAGGAATCTGAGATTTCCTCAGCAACTCGTAATGCTTCTTCCAAATATGAGCTCATCAAGACCAACTTGGAAATCATTATGTTCACGAGTATTTTGGCATGTGGTAGTTCTTGTGTTGGAAATCCACCAATTATCCCCAGCTTGTACAGAGGCTGAACTTGCTAAATGTCTCAATGCCTGAAAGGGTAGAATGCAGAGTAACTTGAAGAGGTCTGGCAGGTGATTTAAATACAGTGAGGAAATATGGAAAACCAATACTAGTTGAGGGAATGCATTTAATCCTAGTCTATATATGAAAAATGAAGAAAATCAATCACCATCAGCTACACCATCCAAGGACGGTGGATCAAAGTCTGAGAAAATGGTTGACAAAAGTGAAATTCAAAACCACAATCATTCCTCTGCTGGGCTAGATATTTTGAGCTATGATCAAGGTTATAATTCTTAATATATGAAAGGAGATAAAAACGTTGTTGCTGAAAAGATACTGCACCATTATTAAGGCGTCATCCTAGCTCAACCAAGGAGTTGTTTGAATCCCTTCTCCGAACTACTGCAGTTGTAGGTAATGCTTTGGATGTAACTTCATCAAAAACATTAACTGATTCTCTTGATCGTGCTTGTGGTGCTGATCCTTACTTCAATGGTATTAAGCGACTTATCCCAATCAGAGGCAAGGGACATGCAGTTTATTTTGGTGGCAGAGATCTTAGTCGCCACAAGTTTGGTCATTATCGTCCTATAGATGATTTATTGCTGATCGTGGTTCTGGAGACACTAGGTGAAACTGAAGGTTCTCTCTATGAAGATGACGGAGATGGAAATAAGTATACCAATGGTGGGTACCTGTTGACAAACTACACTGCTGAAATTTTTCCTTCAGTTGCTACCTTGACGGTGGCCAATACTGAAGGATTGTGGAAAAGGTCAAACCACTGCTTGCTTGTGAAACTATTGCTTGGTAAAGGTGCTATGCTTGAGTCATTTGTTACTGATGGAGAGACCATGCAAATAGCAATGTCATCACAGATTCAAAGAATGAGGTCTCAAGGTTGGTAAATAGCAAGTGAAAAGAGGTACAAGATTAGAAGAGAAATGGCGAGACATGTACCAGATGTCAGAGGTAATTGTATCTCTCAGAAAAAGAGGTGATCATTGACTAGCACCGGATGTCCGGATGCATTAAAACGGTGAGTATTTGGGAGTTTAAAGTGGTTCCTGGGATTGGTGGCAGAATTGTATCCTTGGAGCATCTTCCTACTGGAACTCAGTGGCTTTACATCCGAGTAGATATAAACGGCTATGCAGAATATAGTGTACTTGAGTACAGATCTGCTGGGTGCACAGAAGAGTATTAGGAGATAAGGATTTTTTTTGCAGGATTCAAATCTTTTGCATTAGGAGATAAGGAAATTTTGGTTCAATGGAGACAACTATCAGATTTGAAAGTTTCATGGGAAATTTTCAGCAAATGCCAGGAGGAAGTAATGATGAAGACGATGGTCAGGGCTGTTTCCTATCAACCACCTTGAGGACAAGGTGGTTGTTTAAGGGGGGAAATATGACAGGACCGGCAGATTAGTATAATAATAATAATAATAATAATAATAATAATAATAATAATAATAATAATAATAATAATAATAATAATAATAATAATAATAATAATAATAATAATAATAATGATAATAATTGAATTATACTCAATAATTGGTATTGAGTATAAGAAGGTACCGGGCCAGGTACTAGTTTGATTTGGGCCGGCCTATAAGAGAAATATTATAAATAGGAGTTGGGATTAGAATAAGAGTTTAGGCAGAAATTAACTGGGACTTAGGAGCTCTGAGACTACTCGAAGTGTCTCGATCTGTTCTCTTTCTTACTTACAATTTCTGCCATTGTAACTCTACGATCTTCATCAATATACTGCTAAATTCTGTTGCGTTGATTGAGTCTCTATCAGAATGACTACGCTAACTTATATACCCCAAAAACATAATTAAGAATTTGTTTGGAGTAACTGAGTAACATCATTTGCTGCTTGGATTTAGAGTGTTAAACAAAACTAAGTGTCTTATGAAGCTGGACTTTTTTTAGGACAAAAGATGTTCTTGAAATAGACTCATTTTTGGGCCGGGAGGAGAATTATGTTATTGAATATTTGTCTATTCATTTGTGGGTTCTTATGGACATCCATTTACACCTTGTGGAGTTAATATATGTTTAATGAAATATTGAAATCAATTTCGTTAAATTCGTTACTTAAAAGGCTCTAGTATTATGGACATCCAGTCACACCTTCTGACCTTCATGCTGTGTTGCCTCTAGTATTATTTATTATTTTTACGAATCACTGTTTAACAGGCTGAGAAGGATGAGCTGCGGAAAGAGAAAATGATACTTAAGGCAGATAAAGAGAGATTAGAGCAGCAGTTGAAAGCAATGACTGCACCGCCTGCTGGTTTTGTGCCACCTCATCGTGCTGTATATCATCCCAGACCTGATAATGTCACAGTTTTCCCCAGTTATGGTTACCTTCCAATGTGGCATTATGCAACACCACCTGCCCGTGATTCATCTCAAGATCATAAGCTCTGGTCACCTGCTGCTTGATTCTTTCATAGATTATTATATGTTCTATTAGCCTTTAATGTTCTTGTAAATATTGGTATTGCTTCCAATTTACAAGCTGGCCTTGTCTCTAACTCCATTCTTCTCATTGAAGTTTGTATATACTATATTTCGTGTTCTAGATGGAGGTTACTTTAATTTACAATATTTTGCTTTTCATCAAGTCATCAACTTCTTCAATCAACTGCAATTGTTTTTTTTTTCTTTTTCTTATTCTGTCTTTTTTCATGTGTCACTCTAGCCAAAATTTGAAGGCGCTAATTATTTATTTGTCTAAAGCTTGCAAATTGTCACCTATCTCAGTGAATAACTAGTCGTGGACCCGGTCCGACTGGCCCGGGACACCGGTTTGGGGCCTAGGCCCGGCTAGGTACACCAGTTTGGGGCCTAGGCCCGGCCCGATGGGGTAACCGGGGATGGTTCAGGTGCCTAAAAAATGCGAACCGGCCCAGCCGCTCTGGGCCTGGTTCGGGCCTTTTTTGGGTTTGGGCTGGGTTTAGGTGGGCTAGGCTGTGTGTTTCCGAGGCGTTTGGGGGGTGGGGGGTAGGGGTTGAAATAAATAAGAAAAAAATTGAATCGGGAACCGGACTGGCCCGTGACAGACCCGGCCCGGAACCAGTAGACTCCCGGTCCGGTTCCGGGCCTTACCCAAAATGTTACAGGCCTGGCCAGGCCTAGGCCCAAACCGCAACCGGAACGGGCCCGGTCCACCACTATGAATAACAAGCAAGGACTAAAAGGAAAGTAGTTTGGTAAGGTCAATTTCATCCAAATAAGGATGTTTTCTTTTGGACTGAAATATACTAGTCTGATCTGAATTGGTTTGGTCTCTGTGTATTTTATAACTGCGGAAGTCTGGTCTGATCAGAAAATAGTTTTAAAAAAAAACATCCCAAGTCCAAAGCTGCTTATTCTTTGTTTTTGCTTGTACTGGCTACATAAGTTAAAGAGGATATAAGGTTACCAAACGGAGCCTTATTTTAGGCATTATAATCTTGAATTGTGGTGGATCAAGTCTCCCGTCATGAGCTCTCCTACCACTTAAGAATATCAATTGATCCTTTAAATGTTTACATATTTCAATTATTAAGAACTCATGAGCTATTCCCTCATTTTTTTTTCTTATTTTCCCATTTTGCTCCATCTCAAAATGTTTGTATCATTTCAATATTCAGCCAAATTTATATGCCTCAAAGTTATTGTGAATTTCCAAATTCAACACCAATGACTTAGCTAAACTTTTGCTTAATTTACATGTCACTTTCCTTGTACAAGTGAGTGCATTAGTGTCTCGTATTTGTTCAGAGGCTGAAATTTTAGCTTTAAACACTTCCTGACTTCCTTTATGTTAGATTATTTACTACGTTGTCATTAATTGATGCTTTTTTGAAAAACGAGTTAATATATAAACTGGAAAATCTTAGTAAAAAAAATCTAAACTAGAAAATCTCAAAACAGTTGCTATACATTATACATACTGTGAGAAGAACAAAAAAAAGGTATACTTTAAAGAGCTAAAGTAAAAAAAAAGTCAATATCATATTAACGATATTGACATTTTTTTTGCCAAAAAAAAGGTATACTTTAAACCTCTTTTCTTTTGTGATATTAGGACTTAGCAATTTAATGGTTATTCCTACATCCTTGAGGATTTGATATAAAGGAGTCCTTTTCAGTCCATATACAATCTTCTCCAGGTATTATTATTGTATCTTTCAGTCTAGTTTCTACCTAGTTCATGCTTTTTTTGGAGCTTAATCTTTTAAGCCCCAAATAAACCAAATAGTCCATCTTTTGTTAATATATGAGGTGTTCTTTTGTATCTTCACACATGTATCAGACTTAATAGCTAACTTTACCAAACTAGTTCAACTCAAAATCCATCAAGCTGGGTGAGCTGGTTGGTTGCATTATGGTTTGAAATTACCCCTTCATATTAACGATATTGACTTTGTTTTTTACTTTAGCTTTTTATGCAGAGATGTTTTCTAATAGTAATTACGTATTAGCTTTTCAATGTGTATCATCACATATATTGAAGGGGAGACGGTAATAATAGGAAGCACCCCTATAGGAAGCACTGTAATAATGACACATTGAGTTCTTAGTTTTAAGTTTTAACAACCTCAAAAAAGCTTTTCCAAAAACAACGGGGTTTCATGTACACACCGAACTCATACACTTCATGTACGCGCTCTTTTTTTGTGTGTACAAAGGCAATATTTTATCCTTTTTGTAAAATGGATTGTTGGTGACAAAAAAAAATTGTCTGTGACATAAACAATTCACTTTTAAAAATTTTAAAAATTCAAAGCGTAAGGGGCAGGTAAATCTGGCCCATTTCTTTTTTTGTACACTCGGTACTTCATCAGGTATTAATGGTTAAAAGAATCTTATTGAAGCACGGTAAAAATAGATTTTTAAGACAAAGTTAACTTGTGGGAAAGGTACCACCTCTTGCATTGCAACCACTTCTCTCTTTTACAATTCCTTTATAATCCAATATTAATTTTCTTTCATCTTTTCACTGTTATTCTTTTAACTTTTTTACTTTCTACAGCCAAAAAGGGGGCATGTGCACGCTCAAAACGTATATGGGTTTGGGGTGTACAAAAGGAACTATTCTTCCAAAAAAACAGTAGATTCAAGCTTTTTCAAAACTAGTTTTTTTACATTGGGGGTTGGGCTATTTCAATAGGTTGTTTACCAAACTCAAAAGTTAGCCTTTTTACATGGCCAAATTGCTAAATTAGACTCAAGACGCTTAAAGCACCCCAATAGGCCGGATCTTCACTAAACCTGGCCTGTCTTTAAGCTTCTAGCTATTGGCTTTGCAGTTTTTAACTTTCCAACTCAATGAGCCTATGTGCCAGACACTCATAAATTATCTATCTTTTGAAAGAAAACTTGAAACTCTTCATGCATCAAGCACTCATAATATTTTTCACTAAAAAAGAAATACTCATAACATATGCCGTAGAGACCAACCAAGCTATGCAGCTAATTGAGATGGAGCAAAATAGGGAAAATAAGAAAGAAAAATAACTGAGGGTCTACCATTGGAACTATATATCACTTTATCTTCAACTTCTTCAATCAACTGCAATTGTTTTTTTCTTATTGTGCCACTCTAGCAAAAACTTGAAGGCACTAATCATTTATTTGTCTAAAGACTGTAGAAGTTGAAGTCATGATTTGTCACCTATCTCAGTGAATAACAAGCAAGGACTAAAAGGAAAGTAGTTTGGTAACATCAATTTCATCCAATAGCCTCCAAAGCTTATTCTTTGTTTTTGCTTGTACTGGCTACATTAGTAAAAGAAGATATAAGGTTACCAAACTAGCCTTAGTTTAGGCATTATAATCTTGAATTGTGGTGGATCAAGTCTCCAGTCATGAGCTCTCTTACCATTTAAGAATATCAATTGGTCCTTTAAATGTTTACATATTTCAATTATTAAGAACTCATGAGCTATTCCCTCAGTTTTTTTTCTTATTTTCCCATTGTGCTCCATCTCAAAATATTTGTATCATTCAATATTCTCCCAAATTTATATGGCTCAAAGTTATTGTGAATTTCCAAATTTAACTCCAATGACATAGCTCAACTTTTGCTTAATTTACATGTCACTTTCCTTGTACAAGTGAGTACATTAGTGTCTCGTATTTCTTTAGAGGCTGAAATTTTAGCTTTATACGTACACTTCCTGACGTCCATTATGTTGGATTATTTACTATGTTGTCATTGATTCATGCTTTTTTGAAAAACGAGTTAATATATAAACTGGAAAATCTCAATATAGTTGCTATACATACAGTGAGAAGAAGAAGAATTGTATACTTTAGACCTCTTTTCTTTTGTGATATTAGGACTTAGCAATTTAATGGCAATTCCTACATCCTTGAGGATTTGATATAAAGGAGTCCTTTTCAGTCCATATATAATCTTCTCCAGGTATTATTGTATCTTTCAGTCTAGTTTCTACCTAGTTCATGCTTTTTTGGAGCTTAATCTTTTAAGCCCCAAATAAACCAAATAGTCCATCTTTTGTTAATATATGAGGTGTTCTTTTATATCTTCACACATGCATCAGACTTAATAGCTAAGTTTACCAAACTAGTCCAACTCAAAATCCATCAAGCTGGGTGAGCTGGTTGGTTGCATTATGGTTTGAAATTACCCCTTCACATTAACGGTATTGACTTTTTTTTTTTTACTTTAGCTCTTTATGAAGAGATGTTTGCAATAGTAATTACGTATTAGCTTTTCAATGTGTAACAAGACATAATGAAACAGAAGAAACACGTATTGAAGGGGAGGACGGTATTAATAGGAAGCACCCCGATAGGAAGCACGGTATTAATGATACATTGAGTTCTTAGTTTTAAGTTTTAAAAAACCCAAAAAGCTTTTCCAAAAAACAACCAGGTTTTGTGTAAACACCGAACTCATACACGTCATGTACGCGCTCTGTTTCATATGTACACAAACAATGTTTTATCATTTTTGTAAAGTGGATTGTTGGTGACACATAAAAAAATTGTTTATGACATAAACAACCCACTTTTAAAAATCCAAAACGCAAGGGTGGGGTGAATCTGCCTCATTTCTTTTTTTGTACACTCAGTACTTCATTAACTATTAATGGTAAAAAGAAGAATTTTGAAGTTGTTCTTCACTTTTTGGATGATATTGGACTTTACACCTCATTTTCAAAACTTTTAATTTTTTTAAACAAAGTTAACTCGTGTGTCAGTTTCGTACTTCAAAGGTGCATGTTACATTTCAACCACTTCTCTCTTACATTTCCTTTATAATCCAATATTAATTTTATTCATCTTTTCACTATTATTCTTTTAGCCTTTCTATTTTTCACAGGCAAAAAGGGGCATGTACACGCTCAAAACGTATATGGGTTTGGGCATGTACAAAAGGAATGATTCTTCCAAAAAAACATCAGATTCAAGCTTTTTCAAAACGAGCTTTTTACATTGGTCATTGAACTATTTCAATAGGTTGTTTACCAAACTCAAAAGTTAGCTTTTTTATTGTTAAGACACGGGGTTCCATCCTAAAAGGTCAACTTGATAGGAGGAGTAGCACATGTGTTAATATAGCACTTTGTTCATCCAAACTTTTCCGGTGTGGAACATTTAACACCCCTCCTCACGACCAGACACTTTGT